TGGGCCGACAAGCAATACGTGGCGTCAAATAACAGCACTTTTAAGTTTTCTGACCTTAAAAAACTGTTTGATGTTGCTGTCGATAGAATTACGCCAGCAAAATGGAGAACATGTATTGACCATGTCCAAGAGAAGGTTGAAACCAAAATGTGGGATATGGACACCCAAGTTGAACCCCTTATAATTGACATCAACAATTCTGATGATTCAAGCTCCTCGGAATACAGCATATAAATCGATTGATACCATTAAGACTGGCAGTTTAACGGGCTTTTTGGCAAGACAGGTAAGTTCATTATAGACTGCAATCAAAGTGTAAGCTTCTAGTTATTAATGTGGTAATTCCAAATTTATAATTACACAAAATTAGGGTTAATTAAGGAGTTCCAAAGCATAATAGTGACCTTCTTCCTACTTCTCATGTAAATTTTAATAGCAATCAAACTAACAAACTTTATGGAGTCTGTAATAAACTTTTGTACTACTACTACTACGTCTGTAGTTTCTATTTGCTCAAAAAAATTTGCTCTGCATTGTGAATAGAAGGTTGATTTGTAAATATTATTGGGTATATATGTAAGTTAATAATAAAATATGAAAAATTTCAATTGAGATGGTCCACAAGTTTCTTTCGTGTGCGTTTTAGTAACATTTTGCTGAAATGGTGAATACAGAATTTTTTGCACTGATTCCTAATGTCGAAATATTATTAGGAAGGCGTGGTATATTCCTGATAATTTACTATGCTTTTGATAGAATTTACAGCAACATATATCTTGTACCACATTTTTTGATAGATCAGTCACAATAGCTTGATACGGCCCTGAAGCGTCTCCTACGGTTAAGTTCTTGATCACGTGTAATACGGGTGTATATGTTTGATTTTACTTTGTTTCTTCGATGGATACAGTTTAGTTAGTTAGGTGTCGGCATGACATTGAATTTGAATTTGTGTATTTCACAGAAATCCTGGCCATTTTCGAAAATTGTACGGAACACTGACGACAATTTTGTGCTTCCGCAGAAAAGAAAACGAATTTAACAAAAAAGTCAACAAGTTTCAAACTGGCGGCTAAAGCCTGATCAACTCTTGGTATAAGCTTGCATCTTGACTGACTACGTAATTTTGGTTTAAACGAACCGCATACTTGCTCCTTCTATCTAGTCCAGATTCGTTGATGAGTATGCAGTAGAACTTGAGAAAATTTACAGACTTTGGCAGTTTTTTTTAAAGAAATGTTGCATGACATATTTCAACATATTCTTCCAGGATGGGGATATTTTCATAAAATATAGTGTTATAAAGATATTATTGAATTCTAATAAACATACGTAGTGTTTACTTTATTGTCACTCAGTATACAGGGTGTTTCAGTTTATTGTTGCATAACTTTAAGATTCGATATAACTTTTAAAATGAATGCATAAAGCCTATATAAACATGGGTCGAAAAATGCGTGGCTTCCGAAATACACGGTGTTTAAATTTACTTTCTAAAATAGTTTTTTTTAAATATTTCTAACAATATTTGGTGTAAACAGTGAAAATTGGTATACAAGGATTCTTTGGTACGACAAAACGAACCATGGGCATAGTTTCACTGTTACCGCTAGAGGGCGCTCTCTACTGTACCTGTAGTGTATTAAAATGACCGAAAAATTTTTCTTAGTGCAATTTTTTGCTTTTTGGATAAAGAAACTGATTCTTCCCACTTTTCAACATAAAAAAGCTCTCTTGTGAATTTTCGTTATAGTTGGCCGTTTTTGAGATATTTCGATTTTTAAGGTTCGATGCATTTTTAATTATTTATGGCAAAATAATATTTTTTTTACATTTTCGATTTGGGCATTACAAGTAATTAAGATGATCGTTTAGGTTGTGTTTTTAAACACAGCAATAATTCCTAACTCCAAATAAACACAATAAAACAGAATATTAATTTGTTTAATTTTCCAATATAATTTTTAACAAATTAAATTAATTATTTACAACTTAAATGCTATTGGATAGTTAGGACAAACATACAAAATCTAAAGTAGATGCTCGAAATGTAATTGTTCAATACACAATTCACATCTACGAATGACCGAACGTGGTATAGCATTATTCAAATAAGGCCTTATTTCATCACATGCATTCCTGATTCTGTCTATTAGCATATCTCTTGTGGTTACGGGAGTCTGGTACACTTTTTCTTTTAGAAACCCCACACAAAGAAATCTAATGGATTTAGGTCAGGGATTCGTGGAGGCCAGGCGACTGGTCCTCCACGGCCGATCCATCTTTCTGGATAATTTTCGTCCAGCCAGTTTCTAACTATTCTCGAATAATGAGTTGGACAACCATCAAGCTGGAACCAGGCCAATCTTCTTAAATCTAACATAACATCTTCCCAGATATTTGCATGTTCAGCCTTTAAAAATTCCAAGGAGGTCGCAGGATTTAACCTTGCAGGCAAAAGGTAGGGTCCAAATAGTCGATTACGGTAGATACCAATACACACGTTCACACTAAATTCATGCTGAAAATTTCTTTCCCGAACTGCATGCGGATTTTCATGCGACCAAATATGTTGATTATGAAAATTTACCACTCCACGTCTAGTGAAGCATGACTCATCGGTCCATAAAACGTTACTTAAAAACTCCCTATTATTATCAGTTCTATCAAGAATCCACTGACAAAATGTGATTCTTCGTTCTCCGTCCCCTGGCTGTAGTCCTTGCACAGGTTGCAAATGGTAAGGACGTCTATGGTCATTTCTAAGAATACGGTGAACATGGCTTGCTGAAATTCCCAAGGCACCAGAAACTCTCACTTGTAGTCGGATCTCTATCAAGCTCACGCAGAATCATACGGGTAAATCTGCGCTGACGAACATTTATGTTTTGATCCCTTTGGAGATTTCCAAAACCATTTTCAATTATTTGGCGATGCACTCTTACAAATACTGAGCGAAAATGAATATCCGCTAACTCTTGATTGGAGAATAAAAATGGCATTTTTATACAATTTAAAAAAACAGGTAAAAGAAAATAAATTTCGTGCATTCACAATTGCAAAAAAACCTTTCAGGTTTCAACAGACAACAAAACTAACTGTCAACTAATTGACGTTTAACCTTATTCTGCTTTCAATTTCAAAAATATTTGCAGGTACAGCCTACTTCTAAAAATTATCGAGATACTGACTTTTTAACGTTATTTTATCATAACTAATTAAAAATGCATCGAACCTTAAAAATCGAAATATCGAAAAAACGGCTAACTATAACGAAAATTCACACGAGAGCTTTTTTATGTTGAAAAGTGCGAAGAATCATTTTTTTTATTCAAAGATCTAAGAAAAATTTATCGGTCATTTTAATACACTACAGGTACAGTAGAGAGCGCCCTCTAGCGGCTACAGTAAAACTATGCCCATGATTCGTTTTGTCGTACCAAAAAAACCTTGTGTACCAATTTTCACTGTTATACATCAAATATTGTTCGAAATATTTAAAAAAAAACTATTTTAGAAAGTAAATTTAAACACCCTGTATTTCGGAAGCGACGCATTTTTCAACCCATGTTTAGATAGACTTCATGCATTAATTTTAAAAGTGACTATCGAATCTTAAAGTTATGCAACAATAAACTGAAACACCCTGTATATTTGTGGATCACTCAAGATCTCACCACACTCACTTGTTCAGTTTAAAGCGATTTATTGTTCGAAAACGTTCAAGTTTAACACATGCTCATTCCGTCATTTAGCAGGTACCGATTTTATATTCCAGGTTTATTACGTGTTAATATGAATCTCCAAAATAAGGTATAACGTGACCTTCATTTCGTTCGATAAAATGTTTCAAGGTGACTGACGCCCAGCCGTCGTCATGACACCTTTATGTTGGAATATAGAATCTATACATCAACTCCACTGTCCCGAATTCGAGCTTGCTAACTTCATCCGTTCAAAAAATGAGTTGGGCGTACTTTAAAGAAACGCGCTGTATTAGAACATCAGGAAAATGAAGCGATGCCGATCCGTGTCTTTGTTGTGCACACAATGCTTTTTTTTCGATCACATTTTCATTTATTTTATTTACTTTACTATTGTTTCAGCACACATTAGCTTTGTTATTACAAACACAGTGTTGTTTCTGAAATGGAAAGCCCCCTGTCACTAAGCTTAGTTTTCCAAACAATTTGAATGATGACTGCCATGATTAATGGAATCAAGTCAAAGATCCTCCGGATTTCGTTTCGCCCTGGTACCGCTTTTCTCCACCATCATCCCAAAAACCTATTGCATCAAGCAAACCTCTCATCAACCACACCGCGATTTCCTTGGCAAATGCCTATAACGTATATCTTCTACAGTTATGGTACGCCAAGGGTCTTTTTCCAAATAAAAATAATTGGCGTCCAAGGTCCCCAGACCTCGACAGTTTAGATTTCTTTTTGTGTGGCTATATTAAGACACTAGTGTACACAAGGCCCTTAACACTGTAGAGGAATTAAGAGAAAGAATAGTTGCAGCTTGTGATAGATTAAAAAACACTCCAGGGATATTTCAACTCCATGAGAAGGAGGGCGGAAGCATGCATACTAAGTGAAGGGGGCCATTTTCAACAATTTTTGTAATCATTTCGTTGGTTTTAATGTTATGTTTATGTTGTCAGTTCTTGTTCATTACCCCGTTCCAATTCCAATTTAAGAAACCTCCCTCTACTCCCTGTTTTGTTCCTACGCAATGTCCTCAATGTCTACTGTAGTTCCCCCGACACTCCTACTACCAACCAACTACAGATGTTGTCAACCACAACTTATCCAGGACCTACTCCTGTCATGTACGGGTGCGCCATCTTTTACGTCGGTATTGAAACATCGAATGACTTTGATATTTACCAACCGAGTGGTTTCATTAAACGTGTTTCTGAAACGTCAATTTGCTACAGTTTTAGTCATGAATCGCTTTACACTGAAACAACGCACCAAGATAGTCACACTGTACTTTGAAGATCGTCGTCCAGTTGTGTTAACACAATATCGTCGAAAATATCGCGGCAAACAGGCACCGTCTGACAACACTATCCGTCGTTTGGTTTCGAATTTTCTCGAGTACGGGACAGTGGGAGATCGTCAACATACCGTTCATCAACGACCAAGACGTTCCAATGAACTGGTTGAAGCGGTCAGAGACAGCGTTGCCCAGAACCCAAAAGTGTCGTATCGTCACCGCGCTCAGCATTTTGGCATCAGTAGAACCACGTTGCGACGCATTTTGAAGGATGATTTGCATTTGTTTCCTTATAAGATGCAGCTAAGACAAAAAATATTGCCAACTCACGGTCCACGTCGCTTGGAATAGCCCAAACAGTCGCTCGCATGGTTGATGCTGAACATGATTTTGGGAAGCAAATTGTGATGACCGACGAGGCGCATTTCACGCTCTCTGGCGACGTTAATAAGCAAAACTGCCGCATTTGGAGGATGGGGAATCCACACGAGATCCACGAAATGCCGGAAAGTGACTGTTTGGGCCGGCGTTTGCGCCAAAACCATCATTGGGCCATTTTTCTTCAACGAAAACGATGAAAATCGATATCGGTAGATGTTGGCTCATTATGTCTGCCCACAAATGCGTGAAAAGGTCTTGATGGTTACTGGTTTCAACAAGACGGTGCGCCATGCCACACTGCCATTGAAACAATTCAGTTTCTGCAACAAAAATTCCCTGGACGTATGATGTCAAAATGAGGTGACATTGACTAGCCACCCAGGTCTCCAGATTTGACCACCCGGACTTCTTCTTGTGGGGTTATTTGAAAAGTCAAGTATACGCCAGCAAGCCCCAGACCACTGAAGAACTCAAGGCAAACCTTCGTACCGCAATCGCCGCTATACCCGAGATGCTCGAAAAAGTAATGGAAAACGCAGCAAAACGGGCACTTGATAAATGTTGTGTTCAAAAGCTAGTCCCAATAAATTGTAAAGGACCATACTTAATAAAAATATCCGATATATAGAAACCAGTTTTTCGTTTTCAAAGTTATTTCATGTTTACATACCGACATAAAAGATTGCGCATCCGTTACATCTTCCACCTACCTATCAAGAGCACATGTCAGGGTCTAGGGCGAGAGAAGGGGGAATTACACGCGCGAAAGCGAACACAACCCACCGTCAGGGGGCGCGGACGATCGTTTATCTGCGAAAAGGAGTGACACCGTTACAGGAGCTTTTACAAACAAAGGCGATTAATCTTTTTCAGACGTCATAGCAGCGATTTGTTATTAAGTGTGTGGTCCGTGGGCTGTGGGAGTCGTTTCTTCTAGACTGAGCTCGGTTTTCGGAAGCTGGATAGCTTTGCAATTCGAGAGAGAGAGGCAAGGGTGATAACCTCAGCGAGGTGGAGAGATTTTCGTATTGTGATGGAATATCAATCTACTTGGAAGTGCTTGGAACAACAAAGGATCTAAGCCACATTGACTTTATTTTGGGAAATCCGGAATTAAACTGATTGACAATAAAATGGTTAACATCTACGTATGTATGTTTATCAGAATTCAAGAATTTTTTTATATATCGATTTATCTTGCAATGAACAACAAGTGATAAAATTTGTAAGTGTTATAATAATATTAGTAGTAAGCGATTTGATTTTTTATTGAATTAATTATCATCATTCTCAGCGCATCCACAAGCTTGATCGTCATTTTCGTGCTCTTCATCTTCATCATTACAGTTTGCTACAGTTTTCTCAAATATTTAGGCCATCCGTTTCAGCTCCGGGTCTGTTTCATACAATTCGTCACCAGACAATGTAACAAGTATTTGTTTTAGACTTTTAAGCTTTTTCTGCTTTATTTCAAGCCCAAGTCGCACTTCGGCTCAATTTGATCTAACCGCTTTTTAGGTTTCAACGAAGTTTGAAATTTTTTTGCTGGATCATCCGTTCGATACAGCAATTCTGATTTCACCACAACGCCTGAGGGCTTTCCTCGTTTGATGATTATCCTTCTACTTGAGCTACTTCCTAGCACATTTTTCAAACAGATTGAAGCTTGTTTTATACAGGGTGGCCCATCCATGCGTGGACGGAATATTACTCATAAACAAATACATTTTGAGAAAACCTATTAATGGCATGTTATACGTGACATGTGAAGGCACATTTCTGAAATATTGGCAATCATACAGGGTGTCCCAATTTTGACCTACATATCAAAGTTGTGATTTCTTAAATGGAATTGGATAAACGAATTCAAAAGAAGAAGATTGATAGGACAGACTATGGGGTTTTGGTAATTAGCTGAGATGTAAGGTGTTTTGTCCAGAAAAACCCCCCACTTCGGCAGCCGACATTTTGAAATTTGGAGGGCTGAATTTTGTATCAAAAAAAATTGACATAGCTCAACTTTTATCTTATTTTTTACTTTTTCGAATTTTCATTTTTGCTCATACAGGGTGGAAAACGCAAATTGTACTTTTTCTCGAAAATTTCAAATTATAGGTCTTTGAAAAAAATATAGAAGTTTCACACCCTACGGCAGTCTGTCAACTCCTGTTACTACAAATATTAACTTTTTTGGATTTTATTTTTACAATGTAATGATGAATAATGCATCTTCTAACTGGTGTCTCAACCTTACTGCCAACTTTTCTCGTTCAGGAAAAATTGCCACTTATTTCCCAACCAAGTATTCCAAAGTAAAACTTTGCTCAACTTTAACTGGCTGTACTGGAAAAAAAATGTACTACGAGAGTTTGGCAAGTAGCCTTAAATGTTGGCGCATTTAATAACGATTCCAAAATGGTATAACACTTAGAAGATTACTCGTTAACTTATGCACAATTTTTATTTGAAAAAAAACTGATGAACATTTTTCAAAATTTCCTAATTAAACAGCGATTATGAAAACGCACAAGGACCCTTAAGGATAACTGTTTGCACAACAGTGGGCGTCAAAATGCTGCTGATGATGATTTACCTTTACTGCAAATGCTCAAACTGTTTTCCTTCAGCCGCAATACACGCTCGACATCTTAAAAAAGATCGGGTTATTAAACGAGCGAATCCACGGTTATTAACAAACTCAGCTGCTTCCAATAGTCTTTGCCGTAGCTCAGCTACATTTTGAATCGGCTTGAAATACACTTTTTCTTTTACAGTTCCCCAGTAAAAAAAATCTAACGGATTCAAATCTGGTGACCGGGCTGGCCACGGTATTGTACCAGACCGCCCTATCCATCTGCCTGGAAAGTTTTGATCGAGATACTCTCTCACTGAGAGTGCATAGTGCGCTGGGCAGCCATCATGCTGAAACCACATGTCCCTGTAAATACTCAGTGGCACGTTCTCCAATGAATTTTCTAAATGATTTTGCAAAAAATCTAAATAAACCTCAGCAGTCAAAGTCTCTGGGAACTCAAACGGACCGATTATTTTACCCTTTAAAATTCCTGTCCAATGGTTTATCTTGAAGCGATATTGAGATTTATCTTCTCTCATCAAATGTGGGTTTGCTACGTGCCACTCGTGTAAGTTATGCAGGTTCATGTACCCATCTATCTTAAATGTAGTCTCATCTGACCATAAAGTTTTTTCAAAGAACCGTGGATCTTCCCTGTGTCTTTCTAACATTGTGCGACAAAAAGCAACTCGGCGTTCATAATCCCGAGGCAGAAGAGCTTGAACACGCTGTACGTGGTATGGATGGAGCACGTTTTTTTGCAAGATTCTATGGGCTGTACTTTTGGGCACACCTGTTTTTAGTTCTATTGCACGCACTGAAGCACTCGGGTCTTCTTCGACAGCTCCTAGCACCACGTCTTCGTAAGGAAGGAAAGATCTTCCCTCACCGGGTGATTGGTTTGGTAGTTGGCCCTCTGAGAACAGTAAGCGGTGCACATTTGTGAACACTCGATGATCTGGATGACGAGCTGCATTCGCGTACCTCTCACAGTAAAGTCTCGCTGCAGCACTAGCGTTGCATCTGCATTCCCCATAAATGAGGTGCATGTTAGCATATTCTTGTACGGTGTACACGGACATAGCGGCACAGCACAATCACACTATCAAAGATAGTCTAAGGAAAGCAAATGTTGTTTTGAAGAGCAATTAAACAGTCCAAATCCAAATCACAAGCGATCAGCAGTCCAGTTCACGAATCCAAAATTAGTAACAGTACGAAATCAACAAGCACGAACATGTAAAGATGCGCAGTAAACGAAGGAGTACTGATCGGTATCAAAGTGTGCAATAGCAAGTAAGTGATGTGCTTCATCCATACCACATACAGCGTGTTCAACCTCTCCTGCCCCGGGATTATGAGCCTCGAGTTGCTTTTTGTCGCTCAATGTTAGAAAGACACAGGAAAGATCCACAGTTCTTTGAAAAAATTTTATGGTCGGATGAGACCACATTTAAGAAAGATGGGTACATGAACCTGCATAACTTACACGAGTGGCACGTAGCAAACCCACATTTGATGAGAGAAGATAAATCTCAATATCGCTTCAAGACAAACCATTGGACAGGAATTTTAAATGGTAAAATAATCGGTCCGTTTGAGTTCCCAGAGACTTTGACTGCTGAGGTTTATTTAGGTTTTTTGCAAAATCATTTAATAAATTTATTGGAGAACGTGCCACTGAGTATTTACAGGGACATGTGGTTTTTGAGCATGATGGCTGCCCAGCGCACTATGCACTCTCAGTGAGAGAGTATCTCGATCAAAACTTCCCAGGCAGATGGATAGGGCGGTCTGGTACAATACCGTGGCCAGCCCGGTCACCAGATTTGAATCCCTTAGATTTTTTTTACTGGGGAACTGTAAAAGAAAAAGTGTATATCAAGCCGATTCAAAATGTCACGTAATCAAGACAAGGAAAGTAAACAGCAATTGGATAATTTATTAACGATAGAACCAGAGTCTCAGCCAGTTTTTTGTGAGTCTTGAAATTCAGACTATGGCGATTGGTGTGTAATATCTTCAAACGCACGTACCTATGTTAAGCGAGATAAATGCGTAACATGTTGCTTAAACCTCAAATCTGAATCCATGATGATCCCTAACTACTTCGCATGGTCTACTATAGGAATATGGGTTTCGTTATTTGCTTTTCCCATTTTAGGTGACTGTCTATTATGATTCCTAGGTATTTTATATGATTTGCTGGCTTTAGGACTACTACTTCATGGGTGAAAAGTTTTTTCATAATTGATTGCTAATATTTTAT